ACTATTTTTGTGCCGATGAACTGGATCAAAACTTGATGAGTTTCTCATCAAGAATGGCCTGATCAGACTAAGATCAAGCTCATCAGGTGAAAACCCGATGTAATCTACCTTAGATGATTCGGATCAGAGTAACTTGATCAAAACTTGATCAGTTCTTCATCAGGTATCACCTGATCAGATTAAGGTCAAACTGATCAGATCAAACCCTGACCTGAATTCACCTTAAATATTTGGATCCGAGTAACTTGATCAAAACTTGATCAGTTCCTCATCAGACATCACCTGATCAGGTAAACCTGACAAATACCGGATCAAATACTGATCCTACTTCAGGGCGGCCTGAGGCAATTTCCACTCGGGGGTATAACATCCTTTCGCGGAGGACTGAAGCCCTTCAAACGATCATGTGCTCGAAAAGCAGAGAATTCACTAGTACGTGGAGTCCGCGCAAGGATTTGGCAACGATGGGATAAGAGAACCCTTTGGAGAATTTGCAGAAGGTTTGTCCGATCGAAATCGTTCAATTTCGCTCCACGACTCCCAAAAGGTATTCTTCCTTTTCTGATTCGGATATATTCCCACACACCCCAGGGCCATTTCGTCTGTCGTTGCCCTGAGTCTCGTGGGCAAAGAAACGCTAGTTGGCTGAATCACAGAGGAGAAAATTTTGGAGAAATCACCCAACAACGCAACCTAGTTTGGAACTCGACAAAAGCAATTATTTTTCTGGAGGACTTGAAGAGCCGGGGGAGGGGACCAACGCATCTGTTCAATCAAATATTCCAGTCATTATCATTACGAGAAAATAAATACTGGAATTACCGCTCCATCATCTCACATGGATTGACGATGATCCTGATTAGGGATGTCATCTTCTGGTCATGGGGAATTATTTTTTGTCATACCTTTTACTTTTAATAGTCAAGCGTTTTTTCTCTTAAAGTTAACTTTATCAAATATTTTTCTCTGTGCATGATAAAATTCAACAGCATCTTTTCCTGTGATGTTTCACTAATTGACACCTTATGCGACTGAAATCGCGTCTTAACTCGATGGATTTTCCATTTACCGGGGTAAGAGGAAAGTCTTGGTAAATTTGCGTGGACCCAGAGCGTTCAACAAGTATCCCACCCCCATCATCCACCCCCTTGTCGCTTTTTATCTCGTAAAGTCGGGTCCAGCCTATATCGGTGTAAAAATGAGTTTCAGAGTGCATGCCGTTGGTTTTTGAGAATTAGATTTGTTACGGGATTACTGGTGGCAAGTGGGGTGTTTTTACCGAGACCCGTAGTGATACACCGCGAATGAGGGATTTGGGGATTAATCATTGTACAATCGTCGATCAATATCCGATGGGCATGTCTTCGATCACTCTCCGCATCGCTATCACTTTTTCGGGGGATGCGATGAAAAGATAATCCGGGGATGATCATTGTATATTAATCCCACCAATTATCATTTTTCTGCATCCAATGAGAAAAAAATTTTACTCTTTCTGAAACCAATCAACTCAATGAATTAAAATTGACATTTAAAAAATTTTAATTCCCGATAATTTGGTGCAGAATATTAATTTTCCAATTATAAAAATTCCAGTAATTCAAAAAAGTAACGAAAGTCTTTTCTTCCAAGTCTTTTCTTCCTGACTGGAATTATCATACCGATAATTCCTGCACTCTTTTAAAAATTTCAATTTTTAAAATACTGTTCCATCCCCAATTTCCTGACGAATCCAAAAAAAAAAAAACCCGTCACATTCTCATACTTTTAATCGACTCGAGTGACGCACAGTTGAGCGCTGAGGGGGTGGAATATAGAAAAGTGGTTGGAGTTGGCCTCGGGAAAAGCCGAAGGGAAGTAAATCGAGGGGGAAAGTGGGTGGTGCAGGGAGGGGATGGGAAGGGGAGGCGATAAAGGGGAAATACACAGGACGAAGGAGAGGAGAAACCCCAGGACTGGGAGAGGCGAAGTGTCGTCGTCCGAATAACGGCCAGGCGGCATCGACCGATCTTCGTGCACCTCTTCTACTTCAACCCAACTCACTCTATTCTCTCCCTCACGTTTTCCCATACACTCACAACCCACCCTTATACCACCCTCATCCCTTCTGCCTCTTCGGTGGCCCGTACGAAGCGTCAACTTGTTTCTGGCTGCTATTCCACCGAATATTGACTTCAATTTGCCTGTTACTCGACGGCCAACGTCGCCCCGTCTCTAATGCCATTGTCCTTGGCATTTTGTTTCTGTATGTTTCCACGGTTTTTTACATCTCCACCCACCCCCTGCCACCTACTCGGTTAATTCCGTCGATTTTCTCTGATATACCCTTCTAAATTTCGCTGACTTAATCTTCGACCTTCATTTCTCCGTAATTCAGAAGCTAAGAACCATCTTGACAATGAAAAAAAAAATATTTGTGTTACACTCTGTCAATTTTTACTTGATGTCAGCGGGATAAATTTGTCTGGTCAAAATAGTCGACACTGTGATCGGAGGATGAGCTAGATGTCTGAGTGATTGGTTCATTTATATTTCATGTGACACTTTTTGACTCGTCAGCGACTAATGCGGACAGGATATGAGTCTTCGTGAATTTTTTATTGACTGAGATCCAGTTTACCTGGTCGTGTTATTTGAGTTGGCGAAAACATATGGGACTGCATAATTTTATTGACGAATCGAGACACCGAGCTGTGGTATGTTAATGTATACTGAATGCCAGTGTTTCTGACAACATTATGGTAATTAGAAGCAATAACGACTGTTCTTTGAAATTATCAGTTTTTTATATTTAAATTTCTTTCTCTATCAATTCTACTTTATCTTGATTTAACTCGAGAACGGCAAAGTGGAATTCTCCGATCACCGCAATTCTGAAACCAATTATTTTGGCGTTAAAGTGACAATTTATGCATCGAAGAATCGAATTCATCCATTACAAAATATTACAGACTGAACTTCAACATCATTGTAATAAATTATCAAATGGAAATGGAATGGTTACGCAATAAAATGCGAATATAAAAAATTGATTGACAAAACTTGTTAATTTTCCTAAAATAATTTTTTAAAAATAATTTCAATAAGCCGGCATTACGAATAAATGATTATCAATCCAGGAAACCTTGATTTGGATAAATGGAGCATTATGAGGATGATGAAGACACCCACTACTGCATAAAATGTCACGTTACAGTGACGGGTCTTGACAATTACGTTCGACACCGTCAGTCAGGCTGTCGCCCGTCAGAGCCGAAGAATGAAGTCATGTATCCAGAACTCTTGAATGCCGACACGTTCTTCAATTCCCTGGAACTTCGGAGTAGTGTCAAGCCAAAAGCTAGTAGTGAGGCACTCGATGACCGAAACAAAAAGTCCAGAGGCGATGACAAGCGCAGGAAGCGAAGGCGATGTCAGGAGATTGAGGAGTCGACGTCCAAGGAAAAATTGATGACTTTGTCACCAGGTGTGACGGACTTGGACGATCCGACTGATCACATTGGGATTCCCTCGCTGGTGGGATTTCCGGACATCGTGACATTCGGTGATAAATCATCGACGGTGGCACCAAATAAAATCACGGCCAAGATTCCTGACAAGAAGCGAAACGACGACCACCGGGTCTGGTTGAATGACAGCATTCTCGAGGACTTGGATGGCAATAAAGAGGTGGGATCACCCAGGGAACCGCTTGATAGTGATGCAGATTACGATTACAGGCGTGGACAGGAGTCGGAGGCGGAGAGTGATGATGATGATTCTTATTCGGAGTCTGAGGAAGAAGGGGAGTACGAGTCGCAGGCTCATACGGGAGGCAAATGGAAGCCCGACCAGTTGCTCCAGGAGATATCAACCCAGAATGACGATGAAGTTGAGCAGGAGGATTATCGGCAGGACAGCCCACCCTCCCACACTGGGGGTAAATGGAAGCCAACGGATGTGAGTTGAAAAAAACAATTGCATGTTTATTTCCGTTCCACAATTTATTTTCTTCGATCGTTCAAAGTAGGTGATAGAAATAAAAATTACGATTTTATTGAATAAAAAATGTCGGAAAAATAATGTTTTGGGTTATCTTAGAACGGTGGATAATTCAACATTAAAAAATTGTGCAAGTCGATTTAGTGCATGCCCGGGATTTGGGGAGTCTAGTTTTCAAACTTATGTAGGAGCCATTCCCCAAACTTTTTGCTGACGCGGTCAAATCAAGTCACCGTGTGCTTTTAATCGCAAGAGGTCCACAATGTACTGGTGGTGTCTCGACTTGTAATTAAAGGATTGCGTGACAACCGGCCATTTGGCTAACTCGACTAATTGTCGTCCTTGGATATAACACAAGAGGGGGAATCGAGTGTGGAGATTGTGTAGTTGGGTACATGTGAGCATGTCTCATCGATTCGTTCATGCCCAATCGTTAGCAGAAAACCGAGGATGGTCAGGTGAATGTAGATGAGGAGGAGGACGAGGACGATGAAAATGACGACGATGAGGAGAAGGACACAAGACAACCGCCACCAGGTCACACCCGTGGCAAATGGATTCCAGGGGTATCTGTAGTCAGTGGAGCCACCACTGACTCCAGCTACTGGTGCACTCCCTGCAGCAGACGCCTCGCCTCAAAACTTCTCTACAACAGACATCTGCGATCTGATCTCCACGCGAGAAGAAGTATCCAGGAAATCGAGGGAGATATCAAGCTACCGAGAACCGTTGGTCCACTGCTGAGGCGAAAGACCCTGAGCAAACGGCAACAGGCACTCGCACTTGTGAGTCCAAATTAATATCCTTAATGTCCTCCTCCGATATCTGAATAGAACCTGACCCCGAGCATTAAAAACAAATCGCTACTCCCTGTTATTCCTGATAATTCTCCGGTAAATTATTTTCCCTCAACATTAGAAATCTTTGGACAAGAAGAAGGCATTGACCGATGAACAACAAAAGGCTAGGAGACAGCGAGAAAAATTAGTGCTGCGATGCGAGATGTGTCATGCCCGTGTACGTCGAGTTCAACTCGGTAAACACCTGCTCTCTCACTACCACTGCCGTGTCGCTGGATTAAATCCCTCAAGTTCCATTGCACGTCGCTTTATTCTGGAAAACATGGGCGATGTGGTACGCCAATGTCCATTCCAGTGCACTAGCTGTCGGTTTTATTGTAACACTGAGGATACCTTCCTGTTGCATTGGCGATCTGAGGTGCATACCTCTAGAGATAACGACGTAAGTATGCTTGATATCTTCTCTGAGACTATGTTATTGTTTGACCATTTCTTTTGACTCCCTTCTCCGATACTTCTCACCCCAGTCAAACAGCAATCTGACGTGTGTCAGCTGTGACTTCTGGTGTGACACCAATCAAGCCATGGAGGTGCATCTCCTCAGCCTAGAGCATCGAGAAGCTGTCGCTATGATCAATGGTTCAGTACCTGTTGTCATTCGAAGACAGCTAATTCTAACTTGTAATACGTGCAATCGTCACTTTCGATACAATTTTCAACTTCGAATGCACTCGAAGAACACTGGACATCCTCTGAGTGCAACCGCCACTGATGACTATCAACAGAGAATAGCTTGCAAACACTGCTCCCAAGTTTTTAGGTCTCTAGTAGCCCTTCAGCGACATCAACTGACCAGTCACACGTCCAAGGATGGGGTAGAACTGCCGACGCCTTATTTCTGTTCCTTCTGCTCGATCAACTTCGAGACTGCTCGAGACGCTGTGTTACATAGAAGAACCACTAGTCACAAGCAGACTGTCAAGGGGCACAAGTTCCAGGGAGTTGAGACGTTACAAAGGGATTGCGGTCACTGTGGGGAGAAGCTCCAGGATTTGGAGGCACTCAAACTACATTTGATTCAATCCCATCACGATCTTTGTCACAGGTTTGGTCAAATTCTTTCAATGATACATTACCATTGCATTCCTTTGCCTATTTCTATGACATTTTTTAAACTTGAATTTTTTTTTCCAGATGCTCGCAGTGCGGTTCAGTTTTTCCGCTGTCCCAAGACCTCGCAAAGCACACGAAAAAACAAGAATGCAAAAAAATATTGGATCAGAAATCGAATGCAAAGAGTCAAAAATTTTCGTGCACAACCTGTTGTGTGTTCGGCACAGACTCACAGTCCGAATTGATCTTCCATCAGATGCTCCATACAGGGAGTGTGCAACGGGATCCTGAAGAGCCGGGCTCCAGCAAAGCACCGGCCAAGTATCGCTGTCCTCTCTGTGATAGAGTACTACCGAGAGAATCCATGAGGAGCCACATCAGGATGCACACGGGAGAGAGGCCATTTGCCTGCGCTAAATGTCACAAGTGCTTCTCCAGAAGATCTAGTCTTCGTGTTCATGGGAAAGGATGCGAAGCGAGACTTCGCGATCGAGAGCAGAAGGTCAAGGTTCGGAAGAGGAATTATATCTGTGCAGAGTGCACCGAAGCCTTCTACACAAAGTGAGTAACTCTCTTCCATCATGAACCATTCTTTTTGATATTTAATATGCACTGAAAGAGAATTTATACTTTCATGATCCCATTACTCATCAATTCTAATTGAAAAATTCCTCTTTCAATATATTTTTGCCATGTTGATATGACTTTTTTCTAAAATTCAATTGTTTCATCAATCAATCGTTTCCCAAAGAGAAAAATATGATGACAATTAGTTGACAAATAATCAGCTTCATGTAAACCCACAATTATAAATGTCACAGTGGCATTTCACCGTTAACATTTAATAATTCATAGTTTCAATTTCCATTTTGATTTAATCGCATTTATTGTATGGATTGGATAATCAACTGAGCATAATTTCTATCCGCTATATTGATATTAGCCGAAAGGGCAACAGTGGAACAACTTTGTAATTCATGATCTATCTAGAGCACTTCTGGGTGATACATAAGTTCTTGAATAGACACATGGATTACAAGGAGGAGTTACGTGTTGGAATGGTTGAAACAAGTGAGATGGGGTAGGATAAAAGCGGTCCAAGGTGTTAACATTTGGTTTATAGCGGTACCGGTGCTTTAATACTTATGTCGACCGGCCAACGATGTGTGGACAACATTTCTCTCTCACTCTATCCGTATTTCTCGGGTACAGGAGCCATCGTCGTATTAGGGCATGCATGCTACGACACCAGTCATAATCCCGCACGTTAAAATACTAAAATTACTGGCAAGAGTTGCCTATGACAATGTATGACTCGTTAATGCATTGCCCGCGTGTCGTATCTGTCGTCGTCGTACCTTATTTTCCTTTATTTTATTGTCATACGCAGTACAGAATGCGTCTTATTGGAACGACTACGCATTGGCAATCCGGCAACATTCCTAGGAAAATTGTGACGGTTATTTCGCTAACGCTCAAAGTTTCTCCAAGAAAAAAAATAAAAAAATATCATCAGTTAAAAATGGAAAAGATGTAAAAAAAAAAGGAAAAATGTTGAGAAAATGAACAAAAATGGATTGAAACAAAGAAGAAGAAGAGGTGAAAGGAGAAGAAAGGAGTGGGGTGTAGACGGCGACTGGGAGGTAATTACGCGAGCTCCCGCGCACACCCGATCGTCGTTGTCCCCCCAATTCTGAGAATACGAGGCCACTGCCAGGATGTATGCGCATATTCAAGATAGTATGTTACATACGCGAGAGCTACTGAAACGCGCTCTGGGCTCGTTTCAAGCCCCCACCTCACCCTGAAAAGTGAGGGGATATGGGATATAGAGAGCCAAACAGACCAGAGAAGTAACATACAGAAATGCTTATACCACAGTCCTCCCACCTCCTGGTGCTCCACCTCTGTACCCCCGGTACGTGCGTTCCCTTCAGGTATTTTACATATATGGACCGCGGCGTCGAGCACAACCTATCTTTTATCTCTTCGTTGGCCAGTAATGGCGCCCTTTCCACTTGTCCACCCTGACTTCTTGGCCAGACCCAAGCCACATTCACGTAAATACACACCAGATAGGGCTCTGGTATAATTGTTCTTTTGACGTTGACGGCAGTCAAAATGGAGAATGTCTTCGGCATTCGGGCATTTTTCGCAGCTGCTGGTATTGCCATCTGCTAAGAGGACAGACTATTCTTGGTTCAGCTTTCCAATTGATTGATTCGTTCGTTCATTTATTTATTGAAAGTTTTATCGGTTTACACGGTTTTTTTCTGAAGCTGTATTAATTAAATAACGTGAAATGTTTGGTAATTTTTCTTGAATATTTCTCTCCGTGTATTTTCGCCGGCGTTGATGAGCCTTGAGACTTGGTATTCCTTAAATTACTGTCGACAAAAAAAATGTGTAAACTGGTATGTTACCTGGCACGCGGTGTTCCCCCCAGTTCCTGCGTATATTCAGAGAGTTTAGCGGTGGCCGTGTGTTCCCCACCCTGAGGGTCCAGTTGTCGCGTGAAATATTGCGATTCATAAAATAAAACAGAGCCTGCGGTTCGTGAAACGCGTAGATACAGCCCCACGGCGCTAACCAGCCCAAACTCCACCATTCTATACACTACACATTCACTCCGAGTGTGTTATATCCTCCCCCAACACTCTTTAGCCCCAGTCCTTCTTTCACCGTTTTTTTTTCTCCTTTTTTTTTTGCTCGTGTAATTCAGTCTCTCTTCTCCTCTCGTTTTCACCTCTCCAATGGTAAAGCTCGAATGCTCCTTTAGAATGCCCCCCGTTTCGTTCCTGAAACACAGCCAAACCACGAGCCATTGGCCACATGTCCAACACTATGCCCCGAATTTTTCCGTTTGCATTTGCACCCAACATTTTTTCATCCCTCCTTTCCCCATTTACCCAGCCGAATTACTAAAATTTTCTTTTTACTCTGCTTCATACTTTCATTTGTTGTGTTGACTGGTCTCTATATGATTTCAATTGCAACATTTATCGATTCGGTAAAATTAGGGGCGATTTAACTGACATACGATGTTGAACCCGGCAGTTTTAGCAGAGAAAATTTTCCGGGTGACATGTTTATTGTAAATGAATCCAAGTGCTTCATGGATACAGTCGACGGGGTGAAAACCCAGGGGGTGGGTATACATCCCAGAGGATGAGAGAAGCACCACCACTACTTCTGTCTGAGAGAAGTCCGATTTATGCGAGCCGTTATACCACTACTAGCCCTCTCTGGCGCAATTAAGCTCGCGTTATAATATTGTTGTTTATTCCGTGCCTCGACTGCAAGGCATTACAACCCACCATTCCCTCTCGCAAGTTTTCCTCATCGACCTCTCCTTCTCCTAATCTTCCTGACGCGGCAGTCTTTCTATTAACCCCTGTCTCTGTGTCCTCTACTCTATGTGTTCTACTAGGACCTCTACCTCTGATTGGCCTTCGTTAATTCGCACAGCCGACGACTCGGTCACGTATCCCGTTGATGATACTGGCTGAGCTTGCAGGCCGACATCACCAAACAGTGTCGACCGAATCAGAATCAAGTATCTTATATCTTGATATCTAGACCTCCACATGAAAACCCCCAACACCGACAAAACGTGAATTTTCCCGATAATCTTCAATTTCCCCCCAAATAAACCATTTTCAAATATTCTCCGAAATTTACCTCAAATTCCACCTCCTGAATGACAAAACCCGTTGAAATTACCATAAAACCAAACGACGATAAAAATAGCACGAGTACTCGGATACTCCCAATAAAATGAAGCCCCAGAAATGCGAAACAATGATATACGATCGCGTCGAAACGTTAAAAAACGGTTGTAAAAATCAATGAGAGATGCACGTGAAGAATGCAACGGAGTAGGTGATAAAGCCCCAGTCGTCTGGTTAATACTGCGCTTGTATATAAATACATGCACTGAATCCCATCAGGGATAAAGATGGTAGATGGAGGAGGTGGAGATAAAAGGCCAAAAACCAAAAGAGAATGAAAAAGCAGTGAAAAAAAAAGGAAGACAAAGCCGAACGAAAAATTAAAAAGAAGAGAAGGATACAGGTGCAGGCGTGTGTATATCCCTGAGACGGACGGACCCAGGACGAGAGAAAGACTTACGGATGAAGGTGGGATTGAGTTATGACAGCGTTTGCTCCAGGGGGCCGGCTTGAGAGGCCCGCTATCCCATACCTCAGAGTATATTCCTCTTATTCTTTTAATATATATCCTTCCGTCCCTCTCACACATTGGATTTATGCTGCAACGAACGTAGAAACGTCGGCCATGCATCAACATCGGCTCAGAATAAGTAACACAGTCCTACTTGGTCCTGCCTCTTTCGTTACCACCACCCTCTCTCTGGACCATTATTGCCGCCTACTTCGCCATCATTCTCCTTTCGGATATGTACAGCCACAAACCTATCACGCATTTCAATCCTCACTTCTAGATCGATTCGTACTTTATATGAGTGACAAACTTCACCACCAGTCAAGTGGTCGGCATCACCGATCATAATATTCACCCTCGACATTTGAGAAGCACAAAAAAATCGTGATGAGTGGATAATTAATATATTTTATTAACACCGATGGCAACCCAGCGGATACGGATTGAGGCCTTAAAAATCACCCACCCACACTCACCCACTCCATCACTGGAAAAAAGCCCAATATATTACGAAAAGATGTCATTAAAATTTGAATTTACCATGAATGGTCTTTTTTCCCGACGCATTAGCAAATCAGAATGAGGGAGTGGGTTCAATAATCACAAACAGGCTCACCTCGGTCAATTGTAACCCACATGAAGGTGGACACTACATGACCTTGTCCCGTTGACTGGGGTCAAAGAAATGGACCGGTTCATCGTTCCCCATGCCCCCCCCCCCCTCAAATCGATAAAATATCAAGTTTATAAGTGGCATTACCCCTGAAATACTCGACATTCGAAATGGTATTCGAAAATATACATATCTCCCCTTTTCGATGAAAATTATCGTCGATAAATAGTGATTTCCAATGGTGCCCCATGAATTTTCATCCGGTGATCCTATTAAGAGGCAATCAGAAAAATAATGGACTGAAACACCATCGGATGAAACACGTCTGAAGGTGAAGTGGAACGGAATAAAAAAGTAAAATAAATAATGAAGAGAGAAAAATAGATGATAATAAAAGAAATTGGAAGGGGAGATGAGGCATGGTGCGTCGCTGTAGAGTAGGACTATATCGGTTGTAACCAAGAGGCGACCGACAGGCCCCGAACCAAGGACCGAGAACACCGACCGGCCATAAATACCTCACCGCGTTCAGCCAATTAAAACAAATCATTTTAATGCGCAACCTTTTTAATTAATGCCCGCGTTCGTCCGCTCCCATCGCTCTCACTCGCCCGTACCTTTTCGATATCTCTCGGGCGAGGCTGTTGTTACCTCGGTGCCATCATCTTCTTCGACCAATCATACTTCATTTTGGATTTGAAAATTTCATTTTTTTAAGACACCGGAAATAAATATGTTTAATATTCAGCTGTTCAGTGATCTGTGAAAATACTGTGAAAATCTATGACAATTTATTCAATGACTCGACCACATTTTTTATTGCTAATGATTGTTAATTACCCGATAGTTATCATCGTCTCCGGAAATATCAACATACTGTTATTATGACTCTCATTATTCCAGAAACTGGTGGAAAATTCGTGAGGCTAATTGAAAATCATCATTGAGTGATTTTAATTTAATGACCTATTCAGAAAATTGAAAATTGAATATTTCGAACTGGTGAATACGATAATGTAATAGTAAAGAAAGCCCATCACCGGAGATCGACAACTTCCACCGTAATTTTTCCATCGTGAATAAGCAGTATAATCATGTAGCCTCCCCCCATCACCCGAGTGGAGCGCCAAAAAAATTTCAAGTTCGCGAAAAATTTTCAAATCTCCCCCATCGAATCAACTGAAAGAGGAATGAATAGCGGGAATGCCTTGATACCCAGCATTTTTTTCCATTCATGATAAAATTGTTTTTCAAGACACACACTTCGACAACACATGCTGCGTCATGCCGGCAAGAGCTACAAGTGCGGAGTTCCGGGCTGTCCAACTGTTCTCAGAACTGAGAATGAGCTGAAGAACCATCGCCGTCTCATCCACGAGACGGGCCCAAACGAGCGCAAATATCCATGTGACGATTGCAATTACGCAGCTAAAACGAGAACGGCACTACGTCGGTGAGTAATATATTAACTCCCACGTCCGGTCAAATATCCGGATTACATTTTCCTTCAGTTTTCAATAATTCGGCTGTCGCTCGATACTCTATTTCCTACCGCCCCACTGCCGCTCTTAATTAAATCACATCACTGACTGGGGAATTAATAAAAACACCCCTGTTTCACTTCAATAACCCGCAATGACACAACCCATATATACTGGCCAAGGATGGACTTTGACTTCTTCCACTTGAAGTAAAGTTAATTATTTCAATAGCAAAAGGCGGATAGATATTTCAGGAATTTGAAATTTCATTAATTTCCGAAAAATAAATGCAATTTCATTCGCATGATTTGACCCACATCTGATCTCGACCTTGCGTGTTGACCCAATAAATCAAAAAATATTATTCATTATTATATCGTGACTTCAACTGACTTGAAATCGCAAATGATGGTTAAATAATTTTAATTTCTTTCAGTCATCAAGAGAAACACAAAACCTCAACGAACCCGGCCCATTTAACATGTCCATATAAAGACTGCCCATTCGCGACTCAACTCTCGTCACATCTGAAGCGCCACATTCGCGTCCACACCGGCAAAAAGCCATACAAGTGTCGCCACTGTCCATATGCAAGCAACAATCTGGTAAGTACCTTCTCCCATCCTAAATCAATCAACCCTCGAGTAATTCCACGGATTATATTTTTAAAAAAAAAAAAAAAGAAAAAAAAACACATTTTTCTCCCGACATCTACCCTGTCCTTTATAACTCCTCTGGATTTGCCGTTGTGTTGCCGTTGAACCGTCGACTTGGTGGCGTAAATTAAGCAAGGTACACCTTAATGTTTGGACCGCGCCGCCGCCACTGCGATAAGATAACGAGTTAATTGTGCTCACTGGATGCCCACACACGCACGTCCAATCATACCGCATGGGCCGGGTATGCTAATGTCCTTTGAACGCTTTAGTTAGGGATGCTTCTTGCATACGACGCGATCCAACGTGTCTCTTTGATAGGGAGACATAAACTAATTTTACTCCCGAGTCTCCCTCAACTTCAACAACAAGACAAAAAAGTAGAATGGCAGAATTAAAAATTATTTTGAAGATATAAAAAAATCAAGTAATTGAGTACATAAAATTCATTTTTTAAACAATTATACTGCACAGAATTAATTGTACTAGTGGGAAAAATCCAATCGTCTCTCATTTGATTTTTTCGTATTGAGGTGCGGAAAAAAATGATTTATAAATAAATTTGAGGGCTGGTGTTTACTCAGCAGTTTAATAAGGACCGAAAACGTGCTAGGCATGGGGTAGTTTAACGAGAAGAGGGTGGTGCCCCCCCTGACACACTGAGTACGCTCTCTGCGTCGACGAGATTACACGCGCCACCTTCCTTCCTTCCTTCCTTCCTTCCGTTACCCCACACACCCGCGTTTATGATTTACCACGGATGATTACACGCTTCTTTCGCCGCACACACGAGCCACTTGGTCTCACACCCGCGTGTCTACGGAGCTTCTTATACATACAAACGAGAGTCAGTTCTCACTTTTCGCTGAGGCTCTTCTTTTTATCGTTTTTTCTCTGCAGCTCATCTTTCGACCTCTTCTCACTTTACCCTGCGTTATTCTTTTATGCTTTTCATTATTTAGGGGATTTTTTCATGGGTTAATTTTCAGCGATTTGCAAATCGAATCAGCAGGGAACTTTATATAGACCATGTCAATTTTAATCGGAGCTGTAAATATGGAATTCGATGTAACTGGTATATTACTATTTACCCATTTTATTAAACTCAGATCAAAGGAGCTCAACATTCGCGAATAATTTCTATCTCCAATGAAATATCACTAATGGAAAATCTCGAAAATCACAATTGATTACATTCTGATGGTCTGTTTGAAGAAAATGCGCAACATAATGCATTCGTAAATGCTGAACAGTGACATTTACACATTGACTAGCGTCAAATATATAAAAGTCACGGTGAGATTTACACACGGAAAATGGAATTGGATGGGAAGCCTCGACCATCAACAGCTCGTATAAGTGCCTCTACGGTAGGATGATGTTTACGACTACGACTTGGCTACTTAGCCGCGTGACGGCATCAGTGACCAAATGTGCCTTTTAAAACCTCTCGCATTCTCTCCATACATCCACACATACTATCTAAAACTATTATTTCACACCAGTGTATAAAACCGTATAGATCCATAATCTTTTGCAGGAGAATCTGCGAAAACACGTATTATCGACGAGTCGACATCCAGGAAAGATGATATACGAGTGTGACTCTTGCATCAAGAGTGGAAGCACCTTTACCACCAATTTCAGCAGAGAACTTCGAGCTCATTTGGTAGAGGTACATCCTCAAACCTATCCCACTGTGAATCATGCCAATAATTACGTCTCATCAATATTTAATGCGGACAATCAAGACCCGTGATCATAATCCTATTTTCAAGACATTTTTTTTATTCTGACGACAGCCTATTGTGGCTGAATTATAATTGGCTATTGATCAATTATAATTACATTTTTGTTTCGATTATGGACAGAGGCACAACATTAAAAGTACTGTATGGAGATTTTAAAGAATTTTGTTCTGAATTTTTTTTTTTTTTTCATTTTTACACCTGATCTCATCCCCTGACCATCAATCCGAATATTGACAACTCTTGTAACGATGAAAAATAATCTGAAGTTCCTCCAGAACGTTTTAACCATACATTTTAGCAACACCCAAAGGAGATTTCAAAAAGACCACTTCGTCGAAGGTCACAGAGTCACAAATAACGAGCTACTGCATCGTTCGGAGGCTACCTGGGCTGATAGGTGTCGCAAAATCTCCCCCGGTCCATGTGTGTCGACTCAAGCAAAGCGGGACAAAAATTAAGGAGAAAACCAAGGCGTCGAATGTCCCAAGTGTGAAGGATAATTTATCGACTAATTAACGAGGTTGTCCTTCATTACCAGTTGGAGAGAAACAGAGTCGATTCCTCTTCCTCCCCCAGAATCCTTCCAAAAGGCCTTCTATCTTTATTTCTTTATTTCCCTTATTCCTTTTATTTCTTCCTCTGTTCTTCGGAACGTTGTGCCTGTACTGGCGTTATTTGGCGCCCGAATATTTACGACCATGAGGGGCTCCTTCGAACGAGAGAAAAAAAAAAGGGAGGAGAGAGATGAGCCGCTCTGTGCGGCTCTCGTAGTGGTGATGGTGTGCCCCTTTCCTTTGACTTCAGGACCAAACTCGATAGGTGGAGAGAGAAAAAGAGAGAGAGAGGAGTTACCGAGAGCCATAACAATGTGTGTCCCGATCCTTACCACGATCTCAAGTCTCTGGAATTTCCTCAAGATGCAAATGACGCATTTTTTCAGGTGAGAACAAAGAGATTTTCTTGTTTGTGGAGAAAAAATGCGTTTTGATGGATTGGGGAATTGTTCTCCGCTGCAGATTCCTTTCATTCATCATTAATGACAGAGGGGAGTGATAAAATTCATCGGAAAATCAGCATTTATGGTGGAGATCAAAGGCAAAAGATTATCACCCTCAAAAAAATTCACCCTTAATTCAGTGAATTTCATTCTTTCAATTACACCTGAAAATTTGTCCCCGATGACTCGGCAGCCACTACAGATCCTCACTCTCCTTCGTTTCCATGTAATAAAATGTATATAGGTATACATGGCAATTCACTCGCTGCGGTATCGTAAATACCAGCCGCAAGTCAGAACCCCGAGAGGGGTGGGAGAGTTGAGAGAAGTGTAAACCGCAGTGGGTTGATACACCGTGGTTAGATACGTATACACGTTAATGCCTGCGGATGGGGTTCCTCGAGGACCCCCGCACCGTCATCCTCATTTCGTTTTCCTCGATCGCTCTCGGTGATGCCCTGTTGAGTCAACGATAACCACTCTTCATTCATATTTCAATAGGATTCGCGGAACAAATGGCGCACATACCGTTTCGTTTTCACCCATACGATTTGACCCATTCACCCGTTTCCCCCGGGGCCCCACATGAGTCCCCCGAAACCATTGAAAAGCCATAAAGAAGGGAACCAAGGAATAGTACACGAGGTTGCCAGCAAGCCCGAGAAAAAGAGGGAAAGGGTGGTCGCTGGATGGGATTGATGGCCACCACCTTTAATGCCGTTTGTATGTAGCGGCGCGCGTAAGCGCCTCGCCTTACAGTAATTAGCTCAACAAACGCGCCACCCTGTCCCATCAATTGCTACCCTACGCTCTCTCACGGGCCCTCACCATCTCCCTCTCTCTCTCTCTCCCACTCAAGGAGTTTAGCCGTGCACAAAACCCTATACGTACAGACGGGATTCCCCTTTCCTCCTCTCTCTACCTCCTATGCCGTATCTTGAATTAAACATTCGATGCCTCCTGTCTTGTCGGCGTGCACTTGGCCGGAATGCAAATATATAAATACACTTAACTGCATCGTCCTCCCCCACTATTTCTCGAGAATACGATATACACGCGCGAGAAGCCACTATGTTTCGTGGTGAATACACACTCACTACCTCTCTTGGTGTCTATCCTCTTCTTCCCAGTGTTATCCGAGCTTTTGCGTATTCGAAATGAAAGGATGGGTTGCAGCTCTAACAAACTATTTTACTCTACACTGTGTATTTGGTATCATATCGGTATTCTTCGCAGATTCCACCGATGATTACCCCGATGATTACCCCGATTAACGATCCTTCATGGTTCTACTCATCGCATTTAAATATGAAGGGATGGAATGGGTTTTGTGCGATAAACGCACTTTTATTTCGAGATTAAAAATCATCTCGAATAATCGAAAAATGCAAGTGAAACCGTAGGGATCAAATAGTGTTGGTTCATACGATTTAAAATAAAATTTACGTCTTTCATTATTTATTTCATATAATTTCTCAGTTTCCCATGCATCCATAATCGTCGATTATACCCCGCATGGTCAATGACAGTCATCCAACCGCAATAATCATGGACTATCGATCCCTTACATTCCTCCCCGCCTAATTTATTCCCTCATTTATTCGAATAAACAGGCATGCGGAAAACTCACTACGTGAGGAATTTAATATAATTAATACGAATTGTTTATGACTAATGTATTAACGATTATTCCAGTTTTCTCAGTCGTCATAAGATGCCAGTGCGTGCCATCACGATTTCGTTAATATTGCGGTGTGAGAGAAGCCGGGTATTTACGATTCAAACAAATCAAACGTTATCAGGCATTCCGGAGTAGGCGATAAAGAATACAGATGAACGCCTCGGTATTCCTTGGACATTATCTTCAGTGTGGATGGAGACCGCGTGGTCATTCGAAAAAGCGCGGGCAAGTGTGAATGTCATTAAGAAGAGGAATAAATATTTCTCGAATGCAGAGAAAAAAATCATTCCATTTATATGATTTTTATTTATTTCTCCACATGGATTAAATAATAGTGAAGAGATGTACCTGATTGATTGATTGGTGGATTCAAGAGGAGATTCGAGTGAAAAGGAATGTTCCCTACAGGTTTGATCAGTTGATGGCATCGTGTTAGAGCATCGTTTTTTGCTTTTCATTGGCAAACGAGAGAGGAATCCCCAAAACGTCAGGCCCTCCCACATCCCCATATAAATTCATCGTTTCTGTTTTCGTTCTTCACGTTTATTTATGTTTATTCATTTAGCTTTATTTTTTTCTCTTTTTCTCTCGGGGTCTCTATGTCTTGGTCGTTCGAGGGGCTTCGAAGCGAGTGATTTAGGGGGAATCGTTGGGTGTATCACGCCAGTCGAAAAAAGAATCCGAGGGTTTGATACTCGAGCCAGGATGTTTCTTAGGGCTCTTCTTTGCAGGATCTCAATTGACCTATTCCTTCGAGTTCCTTCGTCCTCGGTGGGAATGTATGTTTCGTTTACTTGAGGTGATGGCGGTTCAAGTCGGTGCAATCAATTGATTTCAGTGGAAATACCATTTGTTTCCTATTTAACTTGAGATTAAATTAAATATAAAAGAGTTATATAAAATAAAGAAATATTGTGGATGAAATATCCATTAAAATATGAGCATGTTGGTTAAGTCATACAGCTTAATCCATACTCAGTTCACAATTCATTCTAGACATAGCAAAATACTGCCCTCTTCGTAATTAACCAAATTGTTAATTAAACTCGCTTGGATAATATTCATCGGAGCATAATGCAACATCCGGTTGGGATCTGTGGTGTAGCCAGTGGTAAGAAAAAAAAAATTACCCAGAAATAAAGAGAGGAATAAAAGGATTGGCTCACAGATGCCGAAGATACTCGTCGGGGTACCCCAGTGGGTCTCTCTCCCGATCGGTAGTTCGCATGCTCGCCTGATTGAAGTTATACGGTTGTGTATTGGTGCAGTCGGAGCAACCAAACCAACGATAATGTATGCGTCGTGAAACCAGGGGACGATTCCAAGTGCGATACCGCAAGCGGTTGCAGAAGAAGGAGGATGAAGAAGAGGGCCTTCTCTTACTCGACCTTACTCTTTCACTTCTTGTTGCCCCGTTGAATTTCTACGTAAACTCGCTCGTACGAGATACAATCTTTTGGGTGGTGTGGTGGCTCCTGCGTGTGCGCGCCTCTCCTACTGGACCCCCATTGTTTTTTTTTTCTTTTCTTTTTTTGTTTTCTTGTTTTTTTCATATTTGTTCAACTTCCAGCAAACGTGAACTTGGATGGTTAACTCATCGGTATTTTAAGGTGGCTTTACATTTTTTCGTCAAGGGCCTCTCTTGCTTTACCTCAATGTGTCCCATTATCTTCGATAACAATGCAAGTAGTGCAATCAGGGCCAGGGGCTTTATAAGGTATCTGCGGGCTGAACCGTGAGAGTTTCAACACTCGTTTAGCTCGATTCACTGGGGTACATTAAATCGGCCATTAGTAAGGGGACAACAAGCAGATCAAGAGAAGGTATTGGTTGCGGGATTTAGGATGCCCTGATGGAATATTATTGAGTGATCTTTTATACTGAACTTTTTGAGAAATATGCATGGCTATACAGTCATAATCTGTTAGTGCGGAGAATATTTGAATTAGAATCACCTGATCCCATCAGAAATATCACATTCACGGGAAAAATAGATTTTTTTTTTTTTAGAGTAGAGAACGGCGATGCGCTGAGACCGTTTTGGAACCGGCAAACGTCGGTATAACTTACCCCCGAAAATCGCTTCCCGACGCATTGAACCACGGCTATCCCCCAGGAACAAGCTCTCTCCACTGGACTGTCTCCACTAGGGTCATCGAGGAGGCCACGCTCGTGGGGTTCAATCTAATTAAACGTGTTTCGATTCCACTCGGTGGTGGATACTATCGGATTACCGCGCTTTACGAGTTCGTACAACCAGAAGAGAGAGAGACAACCGTGTGGGATACTACTTTGCGTCGATGGCAACGACCGTCCTGGGGATACCGATCTGCATTGGAACCGGAGAACCCTCCTCTCCCTCCTCATCACCAACCCCCTCACTTTGGTCAACTGTTAGGACCAATTTGCAGGCATAACCCGGGTCCAGTCCTCCTCTCATTTACCTCAAGCG